CTTTTCTTTGATTTTGACGAAAAAAGAAGAGACAGAAGAGGCTGGAGCTTAGCGCCATTTACCGCGGAAATTTCCGATCATGAGAATTAATCGTTTGGCAATGAGAATTAATCGTTTGGCAATGAGACGTCTGCACGAAAACTGATCTGATTTAACGCTCCGATGGATTATCCCGGACGGGAAACAATGAATATAAGTTCCACCATCCACCGTCGCTCTCGATCGATAGAAATGTCTTCTATACATTGTGTTAGATCAGTGTAACAAGAGATTTGAAGTCTTCGATCAAATTGGAATTATCATATTTTGTATAACTCGGCGTTTTATCTCGCATCAGAACTTTCTCCATCCACAGGACTTTCAGGATCCATGAAGACAGAGCGAAATAACAAGCATTGCAAAGTATTTTGACGCTTCTTTTCAAAGGCCGCTATTTGCAATATACAGCAAAATACTTTGTGCGAACAAATTGAGATACGCGATATTAAAATACAGAGAGTAATACTTCAAAGATGATTGAACAGGACTTTCAGGAAAATGGCCGTGAGTGCGCAGATACAAATTTTCTCGTAACAATATTCTCGGTCAAAGGATTACGTCATAAAGACATGCTATTATACATACAGCGATGGAATAGAAGCGAGAGAGGGAGAGGCGTTATATTACACTCTATCGTTATCACATGCATGAAGTTCCATCGCCCATGCATGATTGTCAATGCACCGTAAATGACTGGTGCTGCATACGTTTGCATTTTCGCATAACACGACTCATAAATATGAAAGTGAGTTTCGACATCCTCCTTGAAGAAAATCACGTCAATACGCGGCAACATGGTTCGACTAGCTCTCAATGGACTGTAGCGCGATTCCAATGATTCTTGCCCGATTTAAAATTTACAAGCATAGTCGACAGCAATCGCCCATTGTTAAGAATATTTCGAATTTCGACAATTTACTGTCATTCATACATTGAATAAAGTAAATGTCGAAAAAAAAAAGAGAGAATTTACTTTATTCATTCGGTGCATAAAACACGCGATTGAATAGAATTGCGCATGATTATTCTAACGCTTCTCTATGAGCAGATATTGATAAAAGTTGTTCAAAGTCCACTCTGTCAGGTATCAAGGACTTCTAGCCTGTAATTCAAATTTGCGGGACAAAGGATTTTCTATAAATTTGACTCTTTTCATGTGTATTATCGTAAACGTTGCATAATATTTTAGGGGCACATAAATTTTTTTATGCGTGCACGTTACGATACCGTAAGAAACAAAAGAGATATAGAAATCAAACGGAGAGGAAAGTGGAACAATCTTTTTATGAGGAAACTTACGTTAACCATTTATAGCGTATTCCTTCTGTTTTCCGAGATATTCCCGCAGTTCCTAAGAGGTAAGCTGTTTTATAAACTTATAAATCTCCAGAGGGTATTCCAAACATACAAACGTAAAGAAGAAGTTTCAAGTTACTATGCTGCATAAATTCCAATGAACTCTTGTGGCGATTTAAAGAACACAATGAGGTCTTGCAGTAACCTCTACGAAGTTCCATTATCGTATCATAACGATGTTACGTATCTCTATTTGATGTACAATACAAATTCTACCATAATAATGGTTAGGAATTATCCGCCAATATCGTTCACTATTTGCTCACGCTACGAAATGCTAAAATATCCAAATAATACACAACAGAATGGACATGTATATATTTGCATTTTAAAATTATTAAAATATGATTACATCATTATATCACGTGACTGCTATTTATGACATCTATAACTCAATGAATTTATCATACTAAATATGCAATCGAGATTGAATTTGACTATTGTCATATCTAATTTTACTATTTATATCTTTATTCTTCTTTCACTTTTTACAGATTGTATCACACTCCAAGACAAATCGATATAGGATAGAATATTTTACAGAGACATCATTGAGAGAAGTGTCGCTACAACGTAAGTAACACTTGTCGTGAAATCTTATGCAGCCTAACTATCACGTGTTAATATTTTACGGCAAAGCCGGCACAGGCTATGGTGAACATGACACGTATACGGCACCCATAATATTATTGCATATGGGTATAGCAATAGACCAAGGTACGATGGAACGGACTCGACGTAGAATTAATTATTGCGAAGACCGTGCACGGTATATATACGCAAATCTGTCGTAACCGGAAGGACCCTTTAACGATTCCATTTATCCTGTGCTCTGCAAGCTTGATATGAAAATTTCTAACATACTCTTTTACTACTCCCGACAGCGAGTAAAACTCGTCTGAAGATATTGCCATAATCATCGTAGGAGATTTATGTTAAATCTATGACCGAGTAATATAGAGGAACAAGATTTTCTCGACATCGTTATTACGACACTTGTGTTAGAGTTTATGGGAGATCGCGAAAAGTTGCTTCACTTGATTTTAATTGACGTATGTTGCATATGCATTCGTAAAAATTGGATAGCGTGTTCGAATAAAAGGATTACCATCGCGCGAAAATGCGGATCTTATGCGAAGCGAGAGATTGAAGCGGCGTGATGAAACATCCCGCGTTACAGCGAAAGTTGTAATTGCGCGTTGTCGAGCGGAACGTTGCGAGGCTCTCGTTAATAACGGGCGAGCGCGGGATGATTTATATCGCAGCCTATTTAGCGGCGATTAGCGCTTCGCGCGGAGTTGCGCGCGCCAGTCGCCCGCTTAACAAGCTTAAACTTAAATTACCGTATTAATCGCGCGGCAGCACCTACGGCAGGGTCTAACCGAGTAACCATCTGAGCGGCCGAGCGGTACGCGCGATCGCAAATATGTCGCCCGGTATTTCCGGAACCTCGTAAACGTATAACTGCATTAGAGTGGAAACTCCACGCGCGCGACCTACGACATCTTGCCGGCAAATCTCCTCAAGTTGCAGTGTCACCAAAGGACACGTGCCGCCGCATGCGCCGCATGTGCCGCTCCGACGAGGAGGATATTTCGGGGACCGGTGGAATAACGGTGGGGGGATAGAATTTTGAACGACGTGGAACGCCGTACCGAAACGCTGCTCCGAGACGTAGGCTTGCGCGATCGTAAATTCCGCGAAATGACGGTACATCCAGCCAAATTATACATCTCGTAAAATATTCCCGCCCGGCTTCTAGCAGACAGCCTGAAAGTATTTCACCTAATATCCTCTCTTCCTCTGGTCCGTTTCTCCCTTTCACTCGACTATAGGAAGGCGAAGAGGGTGAAAAGCTGAGATTGTACCGGGGAAGAAAGATGAATAAATTTAGCAATATTTTTCACGAAAGGACAGAACTTGGCTTCAATATGTTTCTATATGTCAGAATTGGTAAAGAGGACAACTAAACGAAAAAAAAAAAAATTACGCAATATAATTATCTAATGCTTCCCTTTTTAAAGCAGTAACTATCTGTTTTTCGTAGAGCTATTTCCATCGTCGATTAAAAACAAAAGCACAGACTGCCATATTTAATTAGCATTCCTCCGTCAGTCGTGTTGGAAAGAGAAATCTTACGGTCGGGTTGCACGGCCACGTATGAAAGAAACGCATAGAAACACGGCTTTTCATCATGAAAATGTAATGGTATAACTAATTAATTTTCTAGAGCAGGGAGACTAATTGCATTGCAGGTTTATGACTGCTTCGAAAGATGCGCTTCTGTAATTAAGATAATTTTTCACGAGAGCGTGAAAAAGGCCGCTTCGTAATGCTTGCTATAAAAGAACTATGAGGTGAATATATTTCGTAGTCTCGTCATGAACGAAAGTTCTGCGGCGTCGCGTCGAGAGAATCACATCGCGCGACTATTTCCATTTTCCATCTACGTGAAACGTCAGGAGATACGTCCGTTTCCTTGTGAGACGTAATAGATACGGCGGTCATGCGATATCGTTGAACTACGGGATATAGCGGAATCGGATTTACTGGACATGTTCAGCGAGCCGTAAAATCGGATCGTATATTAGAAAATTTTTCGTGGGCGTACGTCGCAATTTCGGAAACTTCCTTCGGAACGCCTATAACGCGCCACCAAGAAAACTTTTAAGAACTTAAAAGAGAATGTCTCGAGAGATTGTCAAGTGGATTAAAACTGCAAATCCTCATTGCGGTATCGCCAGTGCCGTTTTCGACGAAATCAACTGAAAGATTTTTCGAGTAGCATCGAAAAGTTCCATCGTGCTCGAACTCTTTGACGGTGAGACTCGTACGAATCGACACAACGAGACGCGTCGCGAATCTGTTTCAAGCGGGCAATTGGAGTGGAAAAGTTGGAACGCGAGACGCGAGACTTTCGGTTTAACCAGGGAATTGAGAATCGAGAATCTTTCTCTGGCAAATAATCGACTATCGCTTTTTTCGGAACATAGCATTAGAAAATATTTTGATTCAAGTATTTGAAGTAAATGAAAGATACTCTATGTAGACTCTAATAAACTTACTTTCTAAGATAATCTCTCTTTCTCAAGAAAGACAGATTAAGAAACAGATTAAGAAACAGATCTAAGAAATGTGACTATATAGAAAAGTATTCTGCTTCTCTATTTTTTATACTAGTTTATAGCGATTACGTAATTGATAAAATATCTGCATACACATGTAAATAGTTATTCTTTCACATTTCAAACTAATTTTAAACTAATTAATTGTAAATGTAATCAGATAAATATCCGATTAACTTTAAGAAAACATTTCTTCGCAGAGGTGCGAGAGATAAACAATCAAAATAGTTTAAATGTTTCCAACTGCTGAAAGCACCGGACGAGAGGTGAATTCGGGCTGAATCAGATCAAAGGATAAAGTCGTCTTGTTTCCATTGTCATCCAACACTTTGATCTCACGTATACGCGATACGTTACTCCTCAACGAGGGACAATGGTATAAAGTTTCCAGTCGTTCTCAATCGCTGCGAGTTTTGAAACATTGTAATAGGATTCCTCGTCGCGACTCGCGTAACATAAAGGATTTATACAGATACTCACCTGACGTGGAAATAGGGATGAAAAGCAGCTGGATTATCCTGTGCGGAGAAGTTCGGCAAAGTACCATGAAGTAGAGCGAGCCGTACCACAAGAAGTATGATAAACTGCAAACATTAAATAGTCAATAAATTTTCCTATTGTTATATAGAAACATTTTTCTTTTAAACGTTTATGAAAATATTCAGACAATAATAGATGTAAATCTGAAAACTTCTACGTTTGATCTGACATTTAAACTAATCCAATTAACTTGCTTTCTTAATATTTTTAGCGCTAGTAATTAGAAAAAAATATAGAAAACCTTTGATATATATGTATGTGTGTAAATATCAATCATAGCATTAAATCAAGTGCCTCTTTTTCGTTTAAAACGTATTGCATTTATTTATAATCGCAACTCTCACGTTTTATATTTATATTTTATCATAATAGAATCATAAACTTTTATTATATTTTTATATTTATGTAACAATAGAATGAAATAAAACAAATAAATAAAACAAACAAATGAAGTTTACTATTTTCAAGTAAACCTTCCCCAAATCGAAATTCATTGATTCATTGACGGTAAAGATATAAATACAAAACCATAGAAATTGTTACAATGCTGTGAAGTGAACCAGAGAGGAATCAAATAATGGATAAAAAATTAATAGAGAGCAAAGGCAAAATTTTGCACATTCGTATGTCGTGGCCATGTAATACGATTTCCTTTTCACTTTAATTATTCACCATTTGTAAGATACATAGCGAGGAAGCTAATAATACGTCTTACAATAATATTACTAGACGACGTGACGCACCAGTCACGTTCTCCTAAATGGTTTAATTAAGTAACGCGATTCGCGGGTCTGAATAGCAAAGAACGAAACGTAGTTGCTTCGCAGTCTCTCCTACGCCAAGATGTCGTCACGTTCGCGCAGGGGATGACACGGGACCGTCGTCACATTTCCGTCACGTCCTCCGCAGAGCTCGCTAACCCAATAGACGTCCGTACCATCCTCCGATAGACCACTCTCTATCCCTTATTCCAGAGTTATCCGGGGCCGTCGCTGGCCCTCTCACTGTCTCTTCGCCTTTGTACGTCGGTACCTCTCTCGCTCGCATTCTTGTCGGCGGACAGACACGGCGGTGAGTGGTTCTGGAAGGGTTAGAGAGCCGGACAATATCTGCCAATTCGAGGTATTCATATCCTACAGAATCGAAGTCGACAGACGAGGATAGCGTCCATCCTAAGCGGTCGTACGAACACGTCGTGTGTACGTAACGCCGTCATCGAAACGCCTCGTTCTGTCGAAACGTCCGACACCGATGCCGGTCTTGTTCTTCGATGGAAAGCTCTTGGAATATTGTATTACGCCACCACGAGGAAGCCGGCTGACCTACGGAATACGGTCAGCGGGACGGAAATTCAATTCCGATAAATATCTGATGTGCACGAAATATCGTATTGCACATCGAAGCAGCTTCGTTCAATGTTGCAAACTTTTAACTGTAGATAAATACACGCAATATCTTATGATATAACGTTCATGTACAGTAACAATATTAATTATTATTAATGATAAAATAATAAATTACTGACAATTTTTATATCTTTACTTTTAGGTTTATGTACATGACATTTTATTTTTGTAAAATATACTGAAGATGAACTGATAATAAAATCGGAACGTTTGTAATTTTATATTATTGTTATTTATCTCATAATTATATAAACAAAACTCAGTACGGATATCTAGCTCAACTTTCGTGTTCTTTAATTAAACCATTTGTTTTAAACTACTAAGTTTTACTTTATTGATCGTTTAATAAATTTATTAAAACGATCAGTGTATTTTACAAAAATAAAATGTCATGTAAATCACTATAAGGATCACAATATATTGCGCAAAATTATATTTGCAAAATTATATTCTTTCAAGATTAAGATTTTTCTCTTTACAAAGATATATTCTTTTGTTTAATATATTTAGTTAAATATTACTAATTAATGCGATAATGACGCAAGTAGAAACCAATCGTGATAATATATTTCTTATCTAGTAATAGCAGGTAATAACAGCTTCGAGCATAATTTGTCTTTGATCGCAGTATCTTAAGGGAGTGTAAGACAAACGAGAGTTAAACATTTAGTCAATCAGATAACAATGTACAATCGGTAAACAACACATGTACCTAATGGATTGGCCTATTGATTAAGGTTTGTCACCTTAGATGTTAGCCGTTTGATACGCCTTTAGTATTTGGTATTTGATTTTGGTCTTATCTTTCGATATAGCAGGATAACATTTCAATACAGTGAATTTTTATAACTGAAAGTATTTTAAAATTAATTAATTTATAAATTATTTAAAATTTTTCTTCAAGAATAAAAATTGGTTTTACTTAATTTTTCTGTAAATGTCAAAACTAAATTTTTCCAAATGTACGAATGTAACAAGTATATTTGTCACATTTATAAACTATGAAACATTATCTTGTAAAACATGATATTATTTCAATTTATTCGAATAAAGGAATCCTCAAATCTGACAAACTACGTTTAACACTAGTTAAAGTATAGTATTCTATTCTATATTATATTATTAGAGATATTAGTGGTCTTCCTCGACGATAAAGACCGAGAAGCATCGTCGAGAACGACGTACCTGAGAACGTGTAAGTGCCATGGGATGCTGGCGGAAACGACATGGGTGGAAGAGATCCGGGAAATGTAGATAACTGTGTGCAAGTATGCCTCCCTCGTTCGGCGGCATAAATTAGCATAACTCAGAATCGTGTTCGGTTAAAATACTTTCCATGCGCAACCTTTATTCCCGCATTGGCCCGCGTGATGGGTCGTGCTGCCTTGACTTATCACAATACGTCTTAAGGATAAAATACATTATTTAGCAATTTCTATACCAAGGAAAATTGTACAATTGAGTTTACTGTCTAATTATACTATATACAAAATTTGCGTAACGTGGAATTTTGTTATAAAACTCAAAATTATTTTTATAGAAATTTGTAGGAAACTTAATTCTTGTAAAATAATTATTAGAAAGATTAAAAATATATAATTGTTACTCGATCACGTATCATTTTATGATCGCTAAATATATTTCTTGATAATTAATTAATATTATATCAGCTTAATAATTGATGCATACTGCAACCATAACTAAGAGATGTGCTACCCTCGGATCTTTATCGAACGTTTCCCCGTGCTGGCAAGGGTACTTAATACGACGCCATCTAAATTAATTCGCGACAATAAAGACGATGAGCGCCGGTGCCGCAAGAGCCTGCGTTTCTTGGGTATGAACATCAACGATAGTAAAGCGCCGAGAATTTAATAGCACCTCGTAAACTCCGTTTAGAGGTTACACCCTACGCTGTCGTGATCGACCAGCATGACCTCGATAGATTCGTGCCGAAAATACGAGAAATTCACATCTTCTATCGATGAAATTTACCACTTAACTTGAGATTCTCTTTTAAAGATTCAAGACACTTCACGCCTGCGTGAATTTTATTACAAAAAAGAACATTTATAAGAGCTTTACTATTCGCTAAAAACTTTAAATCTTGTTTGAAAATTAAGTTTCAAGGAAGAAATTCCTAAATTAAACGCAAAAAACATTCGATCGATATTGAACCATGCAAGTTTTCTGCTTCTTTGAAATATATTCAGGTTAAAATGTGAGATTTAACTTGATGTTTAATGAATACTAAAGGAAGATAAATTGATCATTTAATTATTGCCGTCACTTAACAAAATTAATTGCGAGAAAGCTGATTATTATCGTGAATGCCGATGGCAAGTCCGTGCCATATTTTCGATTGCCAAGCGTTATACAATACCCATTTATGTGAATCATATATCATTCTGTTGATCTTTTGAAACTGCCGCTATTTCATCCCACGCTTCGCTTGCTGCACAGTTTGTCTTGTTGCATAGCAATTCGGGAGAATGTTATTTATTTTCCGCGGGAAATTCTCCACGTCGAGTGTATCTATGGTAACGATCGTTAAATTTGTTTAAGGCACGAGTTGCTGTAAACATCGGTGTCTAACTACAAGTCTGGCGATAAAAATAAAAAATATCGGTCGTTAAGAATTAACGATGCGGACACGGAATAGGGGATCCGCGCTAATTCCGTGGATTATAGAAGAGCGACGATCGTGTTTTCTTAACACTTAGAAAAATCCCTTTTAGGTCGAGCTACATTATAACGGTACGCGAGTATACATTTGCAAACAGTCCGGCCACTTCATCAAGATTTTTCTCTTCTTCTTTTCATCTTCAATAAATTTCTTGAATAAAGGATAAATCAAGGCTGAATCAATATTATATAATACAATACGTTTTTTTTCAGTCTCCCTCCCCCCCTCTCCTCTCTCTCTCTCTCTCTTGATTGTCATCGAGGCTTAGTGAAGCTTGATTTTTCCGTTAATCCAGTTACGTGATAAGTTGAGGGTGCGCGGATCTAAATGGATAAATATAGACATGGACATCCAGCAATTCTCTGGATACCAGAAGTGCAGACATTGTCGTTAATACAATAATAACAAAGCCAGACGCTCTCGTCTGATAACCCCATGGGACTTCCATGAACTTCCGCATGACTGAATGTACATGGTGCATTAAGAGGATTCCAATCCTCTTTGACCATTACCCGCTTATTTCATATCGTCATAGAGTCATTCTTTTTTTTTTGACCCTTTGGGAATATCATTGGTTACATTCAATAGTTCACATTACAATTACGACAATGTAAATTGAAAATCTATTTTGAGACACAAGATTTTGTTACGATATATTCGCTTAATTATCGCGCTTATTTCGCTTAATTATCGCGTATTATTGATCAGGAAAAGTGATATAATAAAATTATGTAAATTATCATGTTATTACGAATAAATATAGAGACGTAACCTTATTAGTTATTTTATTAAATTTATCTTAACTTACCGAAAAAAGTAATGCTGCAGCACGTCTTGAAAAATATCTAGAATCATCGTTCCACTTGAAATCCGAAATAGACCTGAAAAATATATATCCCAAGTAGTGCAGTGACTTTTTCTGTATTGCAGATTATATTACACGTATGCCATTGAGAATACAAAAAATGTGTTGAATATTGCACCAGTACAGTATCACTATGATTAATAGTGCACCCAGTCAATATTTGAAAAGAGTTTGCGTTCTGACACGAACTCGAGCACGCCGAAATATTTTGGCCGCATTTCTACCGTCACGAGAAGCATTTATCGCTCTAGGACATGCGACATAGAACTCACGATAATTTTATTGTCGTTGTACGTGATTTTCGGCGAAGAGCGAGTAAATTTCTATCTTTTTCATCTAATATCTAATTTTTCAAACGTAATACAAATATCCCAGATTAATCCTACTATACTTCTGATGTATTATAAGTAACTAAAATTAAGATAACTATATCAATTTAAAGTTTACTTCACAACATTAAACCTTACTTTTCCTCCCCGGAACATATACCACGTTCCAATGCCAAGTGCTTAAACACTTACCTCTTGATTGAATGCCAGGAACGACAGAGATCGTAAAGAAAGTTTAGTGCCAGAACAGTAACGCCAGTTTCCTTCGCCAGCATCGACAGGGCACCTAGGCAAACGCTGGACCATACGTAAGCTGTCTGCTGGCTATAAAAGAAGCAAATATTTAGAAATTCTATAATTATTGAATTATATCTTTATATATATATATATATATATATATATATATATAGATCAATTTCTATGATTCAAGTTTTTAAGTATTATTCAAGTATACACTTCAAGTATTTATAATTATATCTTCATTTAGATATCATAACTGTATAGATTTGTGCCTAACTCTATAGATTTGTGTTGTAATTTAAACATATGAATAATTCAGTTAGGCTAATTTTCTTTCATTTTTACAAGAAAATGCAAAATATAAAGCCGGGTTATGATAAAAAAAATTATATGTATTTAATTAGGATTTGAAATTTTTTGTATAACATTTTATTAAAAATAAATTATTGTAAATAAATTAATTTAAAGTTTCCATATGTGGAAAACACTTTTATAATTTTATGATTACGTTCCTTCTGTCACAGATATTTATGACATATTTATGATATTTCCAATATATTTTCCTCTCCTCGGATCGAATAGAAATGTCAGTATCGAGAAACAATTCTCACCAAGAATACTGATCCAAAGACATGTAGGATTTATTCGTTTACGTAGATTGGTATGTACATCAATCTACGTTGAATGACAGATCTGTTCCAAGATGTCGTTCGGGATTTTAGGAACAACGAGATCAATGTGAAACTGTCCGTCGAGACAAGACCGTAGTTTCCACGAGAAACTCACTCGTAAAAAAGGTAGAAGATTTGTGACAAAATAGAAGTATTTTTTACAATTTACATCGAAGCTTCCTAAGTAAGATTAATTCGTCGCAATAATGGCAAAGTGCGAAAGAGAAAATATACTCATTCTGCAAAGAAATAAAGCCATCGAGAATTGTGAGAATGAGAGAACGAGAGTCTTGACAATAAGCCAAATGTATAATTGGAATTAATCACCGCTCGATTTAATCGCCGAGGGATTTAAATGCGAGACGTAAATTATTGAAAGCATTGAAAGCGGATAGATCTGAAAGATACTAGTATAAAAAGAGAAAAGATATCTAAGCATATATAGAGAGCGATGGAACGATGGGATAAAGATGGAAGGAAACGAAGAAGAAAGAGTAGTCAAAGGCAGCCAAGAGTAATCAATTTCCTAGGTTCGAAGACGAGCATCTTACCCTTCCGCCAGCCATTTGCCGTCCGATGCTAGCCCTACAAACGAAGAGGTTTTACCTTCTTGTCTTCCGCAAATGCTCCTTTATGTTGGAGTAACCTCCACGGAAGTTTTTTACATTCTCATAATCAAATCCATTTCTACAGATTTTTCATCGTGTTAAATTTTTCCGCAGGATTATTATATAAATTGCTTAGAGTTTACATAATCAAGCTTCCCCACAATTCATTAAATTTATATCCAGAAGTAACGACATATAACTCACGACCCCAAAGTTATAAAATGAATATTACGAGAATAATGTCTCTTTAGAAACATAATTGAAATTATTTTGTGCAGATGAGTCATTCTTCTTAGTCCTCGCGTTGAAGATCGATGTGAGTAACCCGGAGCATATTTACGATCCTACGTAGCTATAATAGTAGTTTGTAGAGTAAATTAGTTTAGTTTATAATTTTCAGAGACTCCATGTTCATGAGAACGAATGGGTCGCTGTTTTGGCGTCAGGCTGGCGTCGTCGCGACGTTAAGTGTTATACGCCCGACATTCTTGACGTATGCGCAGACCCTAAGTTCCCGCAATTTACAGGGTATGGTATATCAACTATATCCTAACTTTCAGATAATATATAAATGTGAAATAGCGTGAGTGCGGAATATTTTTCCAACCTAGCTAAAACGTAGTAAATCCTTTTTCGTGTAACTTTAAAATTTATACTTGTATGTAATATCATAAACGAAGAGATATGTAGATTAAAATTTAATGACAAACATTTATGTTTTCGTATATGAGTTAAGCTTAAACATATTAAGCTTAAACATATTAATTTTAATAAAGATTAAATGCTGAGAATCAGTTTCAGAGATCAAAAGATTTAAACTATTAAATTAAGCAACTTACCCATGATAGGCAAGAAAGGACAGCAAAAAGAAGATACACGCTAGAACATCCGCTCTGCCTACGATGCCAGTCACCTGCAACATGAAACGATATAAAGTATAATAAAAGAAGGGAGATATGAGCGACGTTGCTGCAATATATAAGTACTAGATACGAATATTTTTATCTTTAACATATATGTATGTACATATATGTACATATATGTACTTATATACTGTGTTTGTTAAAAATTCAAGCGCCCACTTCAGCTTAGTTTCAAAAATTTTATTCACTCAACAAGTTACGATATATGAAAGCAACTTTCTGCCTAGATCGCTCTTGTCTTAGGAATAAAAGGGAAAAAGTAGAAGCGCAATAGAGGCGAAGGCTACGCTTAGATTCTCACGGAAAATACGAAGCGACAGCCTGATATTGGATTTAGCGGTATAAAACGAGAAGGCTGATCCGGAAGATGTGTGAAGAAGCCAAACCAAAGATCTCTTTCATGACAAACGAGATGATGGACAAGACGAGCGAGTATGTGAAAGTGCGAAAGAAAAAAGAAAGTGCGGGCGGGGTTAAGATTGTCCAAGTTATTGACAGCCCTGCACGAGTGAATAACCGACATTCTCAAGGATCAACTTCAGCCAGGGAAGCCGACCTGCTACCGGAAGCTGGATTTACCCATCGTACTCATCTCTCTTCCTTCCTTCCTTCCGCCCTGTTGGGTTAGAGTACCAGGTGTACCTCTAAAATTTACGAACCCCGTCTATCACGGTGGGGCAGCCAACCACACCTCTTAACGAATTAATTCCACGGACTCGCAGAAATACGATCTGCGAAGGAAACAAAAACTGCAGGGCAAGGATAACGAGAAATCAGCGGATTTCTGACATAAAATTCTTCTTGAACGGGCATATTAGAGTTCCGTTTGTTAATCTCTGATAGTTTCTGTTTAAATCTAGTTTAAATTAAAGTAATATATCTAAACATTCTGACTATTGATATAAGTCTCAAATTTAATATTTATTAAATATTATAAATTAAAATACCATTAATTTTATTTGATATAAATATTTGAAATAATTTATACTTATGCAACGTGAAGATAAATGGATTATATTAACTATAATAAATTCATATCATTTCATATCTTATCTAGTGATCTATTTCGATGTACTCGACAAATAATTCAAAGATGAAACAAAGACATTACTGACATTATCATTGAATTGAGAACTGTAATTATAGATACGAGAGACATTGATGAATATACGCTTTCAGCGATGCGAGAGAAGGGGGATGCAATTAATCATTCAATTATAGCAAAACAACACCGGGAGAAATAACAATTAGCATTTATCTTCCAAATTTGGCGTGAATTGTATGCAAATACGAAATATGTGAAATATGTGCAAAATACACGATGCACTTCTGATGTTTTGCATAAACATGGCAGCATAGTAATATTAACAATGTAACATTTAAAACGTTCTCTTTGAAAAAGATATTAATTTTTTTTATTTTTATCGCACGCTTAATCGAATACTTGAACAAACATCGAACATTCAAACAAAACCCGCGGAAGATAAACACCGAGTTGACATTTCATTACAATCTCGTTCTTTTTTGCCATATCGTCGCTCACGCTCTTATAGCAAGTGGACCCGAAGGAAATCTTGCTCGGGGAAACAATACTCCGTCAACGTCAAGTCCGAGACAGGATCCGCTAGAAGCAAGGGACCATAACCGAAGGGTCTGCTTAAGATAACAGAGATTACGATGACCACTTTGCGATAGATTCCTTCACGCGTCTCCTCGATATCAGATTTATTGCAAAGGATAATGGTCAATTGTGAAAAAAAATGGCCAATGGAGCATTTGTTCTAACTACAAACGATGAGTTGAATAATAAAGAAATAAATGTGCGATGTAGTGAATAAATGAAAGATAAGATCATTTATTATACGTTGAGAGAGAGAGAGAGAGAGAGGAGGGGGAGGGGGA